GAATGTGAGACATAAGTCAGTGATAAGATAGAACTTTCTCTAGCCGGAGGCCTGAGCTGTTTAGTATGGAGGGAATATTCATAAATGCCAAAGTTAGCCTGGCAAAACCATCTCCCTAGGTGTGAGTGTGGAGAGTGCCAGATATACCTGCTGTTCATCATGATGGGGAGGAGTATCTAGTGCAAATATTTTCTATTAAAGAAACTTTTTCTCTAGAAGAGAAATCTTCTTAAAACGCGTTTTCTTCTCCAGTTGAAGAAAAGCTTTCATCTAGAATTCAGATATTCTGAGTTATAGAAGTTCTTAGCCTTTTTCTTCCTTCTTTTTAAACCATAGAATCTTAGAATGTTTGGGTTGGAAGGGACCTCCAAAGGTCATCTAATCCAACCCCCCTGCTATAAGCAGGGACATCTCCAACTAGATCAAGCTACTCGGAGCCTTTTTCTTTTTAAGATTTTTTCTTTTTAAAGAAGAAAAGAGCCTTTTTCTTTTTAAGCCTTTTTCTTTTTAAGAGCCATTTCTTTTTAAATGCAAAGTTAGGTTCTAGATGGGAAAATAAAAGTATTGCCTAATTCTTTTGGATAAGTAACAGTGTTCTTTTTGTTCTTGGGGAGCCAAGAGCTCAAGCAGAGATACCTTCTATCTTATATCTATTGAATTAATTATGTGCCTTCATGGGCAACAGCAAAAAGTGGTAATGCAATCAATTTCCAGATGACGTTCACGGTTCTGCAGTTGTCATTACAGCAGTATAAGAAGAGTTAAGAGCCAAAGAGACGTCTCTAAGAGACCTATTCTAATGTCTTTTTGGAATTTTGGATAGCTTGGTTCTGGCAGGTTAAAATTTAATGTGCAAACTTTATTCCTCTCTGTTGAAAGTCATGGAGGACAATTGTTTAATTAAGAAAGAGATGATGGATATGACAGACAGGTATTATGGACAAAGGGCATAGATGCAAAAATGAACCTACATTCCAGATTATTTCTTGTTACAGTTTGCAGTCTATATTTGTTCTAAATTAATGTCTAACCAGGTGCAGCCACAGGTCACAGAAATATTTACTATCCTCGTCACTTGCAAACTTTGGTCACACTCCTTATATGCTACTTCTAGTTTTGTCTGGTTCACAAAAAGAAAGTCTCTGAAGAATAAAAATAATAAACAGTGGTATTGGCTTCAAAGGAAGGTTATGGAATTGTTTACGAACGTCTCTTTCTGGGAGAGAAAATATTTAAAATCTGTAGGTTGACTGTGCTGTAAGGGACATTTTTGCTGTCCTGTGTTGGGTGTTGACCTTTCCCATCTGAAAATCCTGAAGCGTTCATCTTGCTTCAAGAAAGCAATTGGTTCTCTCTTCAAGAGAAGCTGACATTCTAACTATATTATCTTTGATATATATGTACTCTGGTTATTGACCATAGGAGAAAGTCAGATGTTGTATTTAAAGGGCAGGATAGTGTAATCTAAAAGCAGGAGTACCTGGGTCTTTTGTCTTCTGACCTACAAAATTATCATGTATGCTCACATTGTATTGTTCCTGTTGGGTATTAAATCTCTTTATAGTCCCAAACAAGACATGCTAGAAAGAGTAGGAAATTCAGTCATGGGCAGCCAGCTCTCGGGGTGTTTAAATTAGATTGAGCAACTGATGAAGAGCTCTTAGTGCCTCACATCATTTGAGGCCCGTAACTGAGATCTGACCTGCTCTTACCTTCAAGGTTTAAATAATACGTTGGCTGTTAAAACCAAACAAGCAAAAGAGTGATTTCTGTCAGCACAAGTAAGAACATTCTTTAGTCTCACAGGAGGTTTGGCAGCCGTGTAGCTCCCCTCTCAGGTTTGCCAGAGGAGGAGTCCTGCGTAGCCGGAGGGTTATCTCAGCTCTTCTCCCAGGGCTGCCCTGGCGGTGTCTGCAGGAAGGCCTGGCACAGAGCCTGGCAAAGGGAGTCAAAATGCTCCCAGTGGTATTGCCACCAGCCTCAAAAGCAGCTGAGATTTGTGGGCATAACGCTCACTGTGTGAGCTGGAACAAGCTCTACCTGAAGGAAAAAGAGTTTGCTAATTCCCATCATAATCTACCTGGGATATGGTATATTTAATTGATTTTTACTTTGATAATGCAGTAAGCTGGTCTTTTATAATTGCTTTCTGTAATTGGAACAAATTTATGATTATGCTAATTCATCTGCAACCACCCAATATGTAGTAGCTGAATTAATCCATATCTGCCCCTGCATTTCTTCTGTAGATCATTACGTGATTAGCCTTTGTTAGAAACTGATGGGGGTATCTTAATTCTAAGCAGATTCAATTTCAAGGGAAAACAATCTGTTATCTTTGTATAAAGTTATGGCATTTTATAGCAGTTTTATGTCTAGTTCAAGATAGATAGAAACATTTAAGACCTTCAGGCAGACTAATTCTTGAAAGAAATGTATTTTACTGTGTTAGAAGGAACTGTATGACCTCCACTGACAAAGAGGTGAGGGAAGTTGAAAGGTGAAGAGTTTGGAGTCTGCTCTTGAGGCATGGCCGGTTGGCAGTCCAGAACACCCTGCCTTGTTCCAGTGTGGAGACATTGTAGGTTTCTTTGTTGCCTTTGTTGTGATTGTTTTGTGTGTATTTGTGTGCGTGCTGAATTTTTCCGAAGGCTGCATCACTGCAAGTAACGACAACCTTTTGTGATCACAAGTCCTTGTTTATTCTATTAGTTCATCCCTTAGTTCTCCATCTTTGAGAGCATCCATCTGCTGAGGCAAAGGCAGTGAATGAGTTTGTGTAAGTCTGTTTTTTCTTCAAGGGAGGAGGAGGCTGGAATTAGAGGTGAGCATTCGCAGTGTCATCCAGCCTCCAGATAAGAAGCACAAGGCAGCGTGTGCCCTCCCTCACCAATCATCTCTTCATCATCCATCTCTCAACACTTCCATGTTTATGTTCTGTCTGTTTAATGTTCTCCCTTCATCGTGATCATCATTCTTTTAAATGTTTTGCTTTAATGTAAATGTTTCTAACTCGCCAAGCCTTGTGGTCCTAGACTCAGTGAGCAGAGGGTCAGTGTCCTCCCTCCTGGGGCGGGGCTGGTGTGACAGGGGTGAGGACCTTGAACCCTCCCACCCTTACCTCACACCTGCCAAAGCCCCTGACCTGAGCAGAGGCAAAATGCAAAATTTATAAATATGCTTGGGGAATACTGAACTCTAGTAATACTAGACATGTTTGTCATTGCACTGCACATAAAGTGAGTTTAATTCTGACTGCAACCATTGAATATCTGTCACTTGATTTATGCTAGTGCTGCTGTTCCATAATTTAAATTGCATTCCTAGTTTCTTTGCTGAAAACCCCGCTGATAATTAGTATTAAAGCTAACTGCAGAAGGGAAAGTGAATACTAAATGGGTTACTTGATGGTTCCTTGTCTTGCTCAGGCCAAAGGAAAATGGAATACATTCAGAGATATTACTAAGGGAAGGGTTTGGGGTTGCTGGATTTAGTAACTTTGCTGTTAGTGCCCCTGAGCTGTGCCCGGCCATCTGCAGCAATACAGTGTCAGCTTTGGTGGTGACGTGGTGTCTTTGTGACCATTGAGGAGAAGAGGACATAGAGCTAAAGTCTCTTAACTACTTTCAGTATGGAATGTATACTGTACTTTATGCTCAGGTAGTGCTTCTTTTGAGAGAATGGTAAAATAATTTTGTTTCATTCCATAGTCCCCATGCAGGTCACAGGGCCCCAGACCCCCGTTCGTCTCCCAGCTGACGGCTGTGGTGTCGGGATGTGAGAAGCTGTGGATGTGTCAGTCACACGCCTCCTGTCCCCAGCTAACCAAAACGACGGGTGCTACTGGAAGGGGAACCTGCTGTCTGGCATGCAATCTAATTGGTTTTGATGGTCAGCCTTTGCAGATTTGTTTATAAACTGGAAAATCTACAAATTGCAGGCCATCTGCGCAGAACAGCGTGCTAATGAATGCCTGTAGCTAGCAAATCCATAAGCTCATTACCACAAAGTTCCAAGTCCTTCCACAAGTTCCTAAATGAGGTTATTCATCTGAACTGAGATGGGAAGGGTATTTGACTTCAGGGTACAGCCATACCTCCTTCAGGTCTAGAAAAGCTATTAAGATAACTCACATTTATTCAGTCTTTAAACAGAATGTTGATTTTGCTTCTGTTTTTAATTTTTCACTTCTATAACAGCAGCTTACCATGCCTTCACTGCTTTTCTTTTAATGTGTCAGGTAAAGAAAAGCCTTGCAGATAATTCCTGGGTCTACTCAGAGATATGTAGGTTGGTGAACTAGGGGAAGATGTACTGAAATATATTATACAGCATTTCACACGATCTGTGTACCTTGACAACAAAAACTAATAGTCTCTGGTTTAAGAATGTTTATGCAAATTAGGAATCTGTTATGGTGACTTAGATCCTTCACTGTTTGTGGTGCCAAGCAATCCCATCCTTTTGTCTCTTTCTCTCTCTCAAAAAAAGTGGAATTAATAAAACTTATGTGTCATCCCAATCTGTTATGAAGCTGAACTGATCATTGTCCAATTGTGTGAACATGTCGAGCCCTGTATATCAAAAGTAGTAATTTTTAGTATTTCTTATTCTCTTTCAGTTGACATTTTCTTCCATTTTCTTTGAATAGAAATTAGCCTTTCTAAGTTACTAGCCCATATGCCTTCCTCTGAGGGTTAGAAGAAAAAAATCCAAATGAGGTGGCAATCACTGACTTTCACTTGGACTGCTAATCTCCACTGGTCACGTTCCCCTTCCTGCTCAAGTCAAAGGAAATATCTCCCTGTTAGATCAGTGAGGTTGTTAGCCCAAGGCATCAAGTGCCTTTGTTTGGCTTTATTCTTGCAGATTTCCTGCCTCCATCTTTTCTTTTCCTACTTCCCGTTCTCTGCTCCGAGTGCCTTTGTTTGGCTTTATTTTTGCAGATTTCCTGCTTCCATCTTTTCCTACTTCCCGTTCTCTGCTCCATCCTTCTCTAGGTGGAATGGCTGAAGAATGAGGAGCCCATAGATTCCAACCTGGATGAGAACATTGACACCAGGGCAGACCACAACCTCATCATTCGCCAGGCACGTCTCTCTGACTCTGGGAACTACACCTGCATGGCTGCCAACATCGTTGCCAAGAGAAGGAGCATGTCTGCCACTGTTGTGGTGTACGGTCAGTGGAATTTCAGACAAACCTGGATGTGTGTGCTGCTATTGCTGCAGTACTTCACATTTTTAACATACAGCTGGTTCTAAATCAAGGGGCCGACCCTCCTGTTGTGATGAACTTCAGTTCTGTTGCTGAAGGCTGAGATCATGTCTGCTCTTAGAGTGATTAGAATTATGGGGGTTTTGTTTGTGAAGGATTCCCAGCAGTTCTGTCAATAATAACAATCTTTAAAAAGGATTTTTTTTAAAAAAAGATCCAATTATAAACTAAACCACATAAATAAGCCTTGTCTGTATCAGGAAGCCCTGAAGGATGTGCCTAAGGAGGTACATAAAGGGCTGCCTGAACTGGACCTGCAGTGGCCAAGCACTAACTAGGGAGTTGTTACACAGCAGAGGCCAGAACAGACCCATGGCTTTGTTACCATCCTCTGTGGCTCTCCATGTTTATTACTCCATGTAACATTGCACTGGTGGAGGCAGAGCACTCCTAAATCACCTGTTTTAAAGTAAGTCTTGTTTCTGATTTAAGCAAATCACATTTTATGGGAATTGAGGTTCCTGCTTCTACCTCCCTCCCAGACTCTATCAGTCACTGCACTTCTCAGGACATGGCTCTTCCAAAACAAACATCTGTGTTCCTTGACACCATGGACTTTTAATTGGGCACCAGTAGGTAGGAATGCTCCTACTTCAGCTTGGAATTCACCTGCAGAATGTAAATCCAAAATTCTGCCTTTGAATGAAATTGACTGATGATCAGAGTTGGCTGGATGTCCCTCAGTGTGCCTCCTGCAGCCTCAGGCGTGTGTGTTTTGCAGTCAATGGAGGCTGGTCGTCGTGGACGGAGTGGTCCAGCTGCAACGCGCGGTGTGGCCGGGGCTGGCAGAAGAGATCCCGGACCTGCACCAACCCCGCCCCGCTCAACGGAGGGGCCTTCTGTGAGGGGATGTCCGTGCAGAAGATCACCTGCACTTCTCTCTGTCCTGGTGAGCTGTGCACAGTCTACTCGGGAGTAGCTTTGGGTGTCCCATTTAGGGGAGAGCTCTTTCAGTCTGAAATTCCAGGTGGACAGCAGTGCTTTGAAGAGCCTGTGAGGGCCAGAAAAGAAATTGGAAATACTTAAATTTTTGGCTAGAGTACAGCTCAGAGCCTCCTGTAGGGCCTGAGCAGCAGTCACAGCACCTGTGGCCTGTCCATGCTTTAACTGACACTGGAGCTAACTAAATACTCCAAACAACGTAGCAACTGGTAAAGATGAGAAATTGTATGAGTGGGTGTGGGTGTAAGGAAAGGGGAAGTGATGTCAGTAATGCTAGAAAGAGAAACACAGGAACCTAAACTGAGAACTTCACCTAGAAGTATTATTTAGCTTGCAAAGGTTTCTGTGAAGTACATTAACCTCCTGAAATCAAGCTTAAGCTACACGTGGAGCATGGTGTTACATGCCCAGACACTGTCCTCATTTACCCACCCGTAACCTCCCTTTCCTGAGTTTGGAGCTGGTGTTTCACACAGAACAGCTGAAGACAGTTAGCAGGGTTGTGCATCTGTACATTTGAACAGTCTGTGTCTGCCTGTGATCACAGTGTAACTTGTCTGGATTCTGGCAAATCTCTCTTCTAGCTTTTATGAGTTTTTAGATAAAACATGTCCTGAACTGGGATTTAAAGAATATTATTTATATATGTCTTTGTGTACATCTGACTGTTCTTCAATCTGATTTATGCATGAAAAAGCAAGGGAACAGTAGGAACCCTTCCCATTTGGGACAGGGCCAGAGACAGCTATAAATCAGTCAGCAAAGCAACATATTGATCTGCTGTCTTGCTCAGGGCATTAGCCAGAAGCCTCCAAGGCCAGCCGTGCTCTTTTTGGAAATGTCAGCATTTGTAGATGTGCAGCCTCTCTACATCAGCCTGTTTTCAGGCAGAATTTGTATTGAAGCATTAGGAGCTAATAGCCAGGTGGCAGAGGAACTGTCTCCTCCTGCAGTTCTCCTTGGCTGCATTTGGGGAACATTACATCCCAGTACTGCTGTAAAGGCTTCCACAGTGCACACTTCAGGTGGTACATTCTAATGGTGGGTTTTATCTTCATACCTGATAAAACTATATTTATTTCTCCTGAGAATTACACCTTGTTTTACTTGCTGTGACCTGAGGGGAGAGATGAAACAAGTATCGTTGGCAGGACCTCTTAACTGCACCAGTTTGGGGTGCCGTGCTGATGCTTCTCTGTTCTTGCTGCCCGTGCAGTGGATGGCAGCTGGGAGGAGTGGAGCGAGTGGTCTGTGTGCAGCCCAGCCTGTGAGCAGCTGAGGGTCCGGGAGTGCATCTCACCCCCCCCCAGGAACGGGGGCAAGTCCTGCGAGGGGCTGGGCCAGGAGTCAGAGAACTGCACCGATGGGCTCTGCATTCAAGGTGAGTTACAGCTGGCACGGAGCTGGATTGAGAGGTAGGGCCTAAAATGCCTATTGTAATCCAGGTAATGTGGCAAATCTTCCACACGCCCCTGTCAGTAGAACTCTTCTGTCTGAAATATTACTGTGAGAAAATGGACTGTTTTCAGGGGATTGCATATGTGCAGTTTGAAACCCATGGTGGTTTCTGAGTCACTGGATTTGCACAGCACACGCATCACCCATGGGCTGCCAGTTAATTCTAAAGATCCAGATGAAGGCTTTTTGCAGTGTGTAGTTATGAGTGCCTGGTACAACATCCTTCCCAGAACAGACTACTTGGCCTTCTACCTTTCTCTTGCAAATAAACGGACAAAGCACCATCACAAATCCTCTTGGTGCAAGAGCTATTTCAGGACTAAGTTTACTCTATTGCTTTTAACACAGAAGTTAAAAGTAAATCTACTCTACGGTGAGTTCCCTGTGAAAGGATTTGCCCTTCGTAAGTCTCTGGAAAGCATCTAGCATTTGGTAGTTGCTACTATCAATAAACAACCAGGAGCCAAGAAACCCACCCCACAGCTGTAGAGATGCAGAACACGCCTGGGCAGCTGCAGAGTCTTCAAACAAAGAAGGAATTCACAAGTTTATTCCTACACGGAATCCTGCTCCCTATCCCTGAACTGATACTGTCACCTCAGCCCTTTCTAGCAGTGGGGTGGCAGCTGCAGGGGTAATCCGGATTGCTAGTGCTGAAAGGTGTAAACTGAAATAACTCTTTTTCTTTATATAAATAGTCCTCGTTCTCTGCTTCTGTGGTGCTGCAGTACTCTCCCCTCTTGCTATTTGTCTTCAACTACTTCAAGTTTCAAGGCAGACAAGTTTCGGTGTTTAAAAGGACATAAATGACATGTAGATATTTTTTCTTCTCTATGTTTAAAAAATAACAACTAGGGAGAATTTGTGAGTGCTGCAATTCATCCAGCTTTTGAGGACCAATGTGGTGATCACATGGTATTTTCTGAGGTCTTTCTCCTTCCTATAAATTAAATGAATGCCCTTCCCTGCAGATGGCTTGATAAATCCAGACTCCATTCATGGGTGCAGATTAGCATATCCATTGGCAGACTGTTGGAAGGATGCACTGAAAGGGGGTGAAAAGATGCAGCTGAGACCTGCATAATTCTCACTGTTCATGACAGTCATGGGTTGACTTCTGTCTAGTTGGCTCCTTCTATAGTTTTCACCAGAGTTAATAAAAGGTGGCATTATTCAGGTCACTTCTTCCAAGAAAAGCCTTAACAGCACTGCAGGGTGGTAAAGATTCCATGTCCTACCTCGAGAATTACATCCATTCATGTCGTGTGGTTGTGTGTCAGCCCTGTGAGCCATCATCCATGCTGCACTGAGGCGTTAGAGGTGGAGGAACAAGCATGGGATCATGCTTGCTTTGGTGGCCTGAAAGGAGCAGGTGGGCTGGGGAGGAGCTGTGGTTTTAAGGAGCTGTGATACGTGTTTTACGTGGTGGCGATGGCTTCATCCCAGGGGAATGACTGACAGCCCTCCAGTCCTGGCAGCACGGCTGGGTCCAGGGGTGGACTGGGCCCCTGCACACTGTGCTGTCAACACCCAGGACTTTTGTTGGTGTATCACACAGGCTTTTGTTGGTGGCTTCTCCAGCTGTTAGTGTCCCTTTCTTGGCCCCTCTCTCTGAGGAGCTCATCCAGACATGTCTGCAGGCAGGTTTTAGAGTGTCCCTGTGGCACATCATGAGCAGAACTTCCCTGGAGCTGGGTGACTGAAGCACTCAGAGGCAGCCAAAGGCTCGTGACAGAAAAGCTGCTCCTGTCTGGAAATGAGCAGAGCCCAGGTCAGCTCAGGCCTCTGCTCTCTCTGGCCCAGAGAAGCTTGGGTTTCCTCCTAGTGCTGACGGTGGTACCAGGGGGTGTGTGGGTTTGGAGGGCTCAATTTCCATGTGTGTGCACAGAGAATGAAGTTTTCGGTGCCTCTTGTTCTTTCATCTTGGCCTGTGATACTATTGCTCCTTCATGGGTCATGCTATAGGTATATACTAGCACCAAATTATTTTTAGGACTGTAATTGCTTTCTCAGCTAATAGGAATTGATGCAATTACCCTATTTTTAAAAAATATTTTTCCTCTGTTCATCTTCCAATATGTGCCTTTTCTGCTCTGCTTTGCATCCCATGGGGAATCATGGAGGAAGTGCAGTCCTGTGCTACTGAACAGCAATCTCCTGGAGGTTATTTATCAGCTCAGCTTGTTAACTTGGCTCCTTTTGTGAGGCAAAAATAGAAATGAAACATTTCTTTGGTTAACAAATAAGAATGTAACGGAAAGTAAGGGTGAGAATGTAAGATGCCAGGAGACCATACCCTTGTTCTAACCTAGCAGAAAACACACTTAGCATGAATTTTCAAATCTGGAATCAGTAAATGAAATGGTGATAAAAGAGGTTCTGGTCTCAGGTTCTTTATTCAGTCCCCGACAGGAGATGGTGGGAACACCACAGAGACAACAAGACCCTCTCCTTCTGAGGAAAATCCTTTTTCTCACTTCAGTTTTTGATTTTCTACATGGATCCAGATAGTCCAGTCCTTAAACGAGTTACAACTGGAAGTGCTTTTCTTTCAGGGAATTTAATTCCTTCTAGGACTTGTAACAATTGAATCAATATAAACTTATATGAAGCAGAAAGGCAGACTTATTTTGAGCTTTGATCTATATGAAAGATTGCCAGACCTGCCAAGCTGGGAGAAAACCAGAGATGGGCTCAATCTGAATGCAAAGATCCCTTTCTCTCAAGATCATCCTAATAACTTACTAGTTTCTTGCATGTTTGTTCTTGGTGTTGTTTATTCCTTCCCAGTATTCTCAGTAGTACACTTTTCCATGGTGGATTTCTCTCTGTCATGAAGAGGTGAAAGCTTTTTCTTTGTGTAATAAAAGTGAGGGTTTTGTAGAGGTTTTTTGTTTTATCTATTTGCTTTAAAGTTATTTTTTATAACTTCAAAAGCTATTGATTTCTTTTCCCAGTGCCCCAAAAGAAACAAACAAGTAGGCCATAAGCAGATGAACTACAAACATGTTTTTACTAATGCATCATAAATCACAAATAATTTTGTTTTCCATTTTTCAACCAGCCATGATACTGAATATTGCCAAGAGGCTTCTGGGTCGAGCAATCTCACCAGTTTATATGGCAAACACATTTCAATTCCCTTGCAGTTTTCTGTAGATAGCAGTGTATGTCAGCAGCATGAAAATGTTTGTTGCCATTGCAAAGCTCCAGTCTGACACTATTCGTTTTGTGTTTACATACATAATTCCCTAGCAAAAATAAAAACAACCTCAAGAAGGGGAAAATCCCCACACTGAGCTTTCTAGCAAAGCCAAAATCCAAGAATCTTTTGGGTTAACTATTATCAAACTGATCATTTTCACCAACAGTAAAATAATAGAGGGGCCTCATAATCCCTGTGGTTACATTATCACATAGCAAAACGTGAAGCTCAACATCTTGGACCTTGATGTGGTTTCCATTGGGATTAACATTTCCCAGCATAGATCCCAGGATCTGTGCCCATAACCCACCCCTGGAGGTACCCGTGTCCAGAAAGCACAGAAAGAAAGTCCAAAAGACACACAGAAAGAAATCCAAAAGAGAAATCAGGGAACAGCTCAAAGGCAATTACCTTGCAACACAAAGCACCCACAATGTGGTTAAAGTCTTAGTTCCTTAAGGATTTATGTCCTGCATTTTATTCCATCTATTTGATGAGTCTAATTCTGCTGAACTGCTGGCCTCTGTCAGATTTTATAGAAATAAGTGTTTTCTTGGTTTCTTCAGACAACCTTTCAGCAAAAGGTATTGGACTAGTTGCTTGAGTTAGGCAGCCTGCCCCAGAAACCTCTTTCCTAAGGATTACTTTTTCAGGTATTAGGTTTGAAGGGTGACTCAAATGCTTATTACAAGGGAGACAGAGAAGCCTCATTTTTGAGGCTGCACTATTGTATCACAGATTTTAGAGCATATTTGCCTGTGTATGGTACTACATTGCTTCTGTATGTTCTTCATATACACATATAGATGTCATTATCGGTGTATATTTAGATACATAATTGTGAATATATTGTACATGTTTGTTTTATAGATTACTTTTTTAAATGCCCATCATTAACCTCTCAAACATACAAAGAAACAATTAAGTCTTAACTGACTTCCTTTGCCAAGTGATCTGCTTCAAAGTATTGAACTTCCTTATTGCTGATTTGTATAATAGTCTAAAAGCATCCAGTACAGCTAACAAATACTTGAATTAACCAAGTGAGAAATTACTGCAAAGAAACATCCTGAAAGAGAGTTAGGGGAAAAAAAAAAAAAGAAGATAAAAATATGGACAACATAAAATATTCATATTGTCAGCAAACAAGAAGAAAATGTTTCATTTATAGAGCTAGGCAGAAGCGATATAGGAAATAGATATGCTCCATGTCAATTTATTAAGTGCAACTTTCTCTCTTTCTCTTTCTTTCTCTCTCTCTCTCAGATAAAAAACCTCTTCATGAAATAAAATCCCAAAGTAAGTTATTTTTTTTCTCTTGTAAATATGATTTTTCTCATCTTCTCTGCCATTCTGTTTTATTTGTTTAGGAGCTAAATAAAACTGAAGGTTATATGAAAGGCTTTCACATCTGCTGAAAGCGTCTGAGCAACTTTGTGATCACAGGTTTTAGGCTGAACCTACACAAGTGACCATCCTTCAGTAGTTTGTAGCTGGGAGCCCTTTCTGCAGGCGTGCTCCGCTTGAGAGTGATCTCTTGAGGACTTGTAATTAGAATAAAAAAGAAATTAATCTAGGAGTTGGGCTTTCTTGGCTCAAATCTGGCTGCAGTGCTGGCTCTGTCTGGTCCTGGGCAGGTCCCGTTATCGACAGGGGTCGTACCCCCCACCCTGGGCAGAGCGTGGGGGCACCACTGGCACACTGCACTGGGGGCTGCCCCCCTGCCCTCTGTGTTCCTTAGGCTTGGATTGATTTCGGGGGAAATTTAGGTTAGAGCCACACATTTGGAGTGAACTGACTAACTGAAAGTTTTTGTTAAAATAAAGAAAACAAACACACGCCACCACTTCATGAAAACCACGGTTGCCTTGAGGCCCATCTTCTTGAAAGCAAAGACATTGCTTATTTCTTTCATAAATCACACACAAATATTGAGAATTTTTGACTGCTTCATTTTCAAGAAAAAATTGTCTTTGGATTTTGACAAACATATTTATAAACACATTTTTGGCTTCTTTTGAAGGACTTAAGAATTCACCTGTGCTAAGAAGTAACACATGCAATTGTTTATATCTTCTTTGAAGACAAATTTTTCTATAATGTGTTACAAAATATGAAGGTGTTAAGTCTGAGTATTCCTCCAGGATACAGGGGATAAGGGTGATCAGATTATTTAGAATTTTATGGAACTTGGACCCTTAAATATTCCAGATGATTTAGGATGTCTTTCCAAGAAAGCTTGCATGAGAATATTGCTGCTTTACATTGCCAGTCCTTAAGTATTTCTAAGGCTACATGAATTTAGGTAGCTCAAAAATGTGCTGTGGTTGCCTTGGCTGCTTAAGCAATTTTAATTTTTCTTGTCTTTATCTCTCTGGAATCGTCTCCTAATTGGTCACGTACAGTTGGTCTGTGTCATAGTTTAGCTCAGGCAATTGATACGTTTTTGTTTGTTTATCTGCACAGTTCCCATTTAATTAGTGCATCTTGAAAGAGTAACAGTCAAATCGCTTTATTTTGTGATGTATTAAAAAAGTAACTTAAATGGAATTGATTTTAGCATGTAAGATATGTCAGGGAGTTAAAGGGTTTCTTTATGGCTGTGGGGTTGGCTACAGCTTGTTGCTATTCAGGAAAACAGGAACTTGGTTGAAGACTGCATGAATCATCAGTGAGGCAAAATCAAAGTCAATTATGGAGATAATTGAGAAACAACCCCTTCTCCTAAATAACCTCCTACATGATTCTCTGACTGTTGATCCCTGTTCTTGAAGACTGGCTGTACAAAGAAATGGATGGCTGGTGGCTAAGGGGTACCAAAAGTGAGAGTGATGGAAAACGGGGAGGACAGGGACTGGACAAACCTTCCAAACCTCCCAGCAGACCCTGAGGGTCGGCAGGGGAAATGTCTGCCCCACACAGCTCCTGGAAAGCACTTATTGTAAATGAGATAATTTAATCAATTACATTTCCTAATGTACTAAACCAAATGTTTCATTTTCTGCTCCTGCACATCTTAAATTATCTTCAGGTGCTTTATGAAACTTAATCATAGTTAATAGAAACTTCATTACCATCAAATGTGCTTTCAATAAATGTTGTGTAACAGTGTCAGGAGGTGGAGTGAAATATAGGCTACAATTACCACAAACACGTAGCCTGTAACTTGAAGTGTATAGAAAGCGTGGTGCTTCCCAGAGTCCCTGCCTCCCCTGGGCTGGGAGGATGCAGTTCATTAAATAGTAATCAGTTGACTACAACTTTTTTTACTTTTTTTACTTTGTTTTTTCACTTCGTTTCCTTCTGGGAAAAAATAAAAGCGGAAAACTACCCTTTTCCCCACATTTCCCATGCTTTTCTTTTTTCTTTAATTTCTAGTCTCCCATAAAAGAAATTATCCATAAGAAAAGATAGAAAGGTGAAAAGATTAAAATTACTTTACAAAAGCAGTATTTCTTTAGCTAAAATTACCAATATCCTAAATGAAAATGAAAGTCCCCTTTCTTAAGCAGCTGTGATCCACAGGAACAATTCAAAGGAATACCCTGCCACTCTTGTTTTCCTCTTTTAAGATAAAGCTCTTTAAATATGGACTAAACTCTGAAAAATTCCTTTTCCTCTGAACTCTGTGTGCTAGTTACTTTGGGTTTGTGGGTGGTTTCTTCCCCTGCAATAGGATAGTAATGGGAGCACCTGAATAACTCTTCCAGGTCTCCTATGAAACAGAACAATGACCATAACTCATAATTCAATAATATAATTTATAGAAAAGTGTCAAATTCAAGTTCTATGGATAATTTCAAGTATTCACTGAAACCAGTATTATTCTCATCTGAAAAATTTTGCTTGAGTTAAACTGTTCTCATTGGCTAAAATTCTGTCCTTGCTCTCATCTTTATCCTGTGCACGACAGCCTTGTGCAGAACTCAAATGGTCTGTCATCTGCAGCTATTGAAAAGAAGCTGCTAAAGTATAAGTAAATTTAGAGTAATACACTGCAGTTACTCACAGGTGAGAACTTGAGGTGGTTTTATATCCTGCTTTTGATGGTACAAGATCAACTCCTATATTCTTTACCTGTTGCCATTATGGTGGCAGTAACTTTTTCCTGATAGGTTATCTCTGTGTGTTTCAGGCTTTATAAATTATTATCCTAAGGTAGAAGAGGTAATTCAAATTTTCAGCACTTTTTTATTTTAAAGTTATGAGCAAAATGGAAATATTAAAGATGCTTTGAGGTGAAATAAGAACCGGGTCACAGTGGTTCTCTAGAAAGGAAAACCATTTATTTGGGTGGAATGGGATGTTGGAATGTTGCATTTGGAGCTGCCTGGGAACAGCTGCAGAATGGGGATGGAAAGAGTGGTTTCTACAAAGGAGCCTTGGGCAAAGAGTTTCTTTGGCTTTCGATTCCCTGCCCATCTCCTGTGGGCTCCAGCCCCTGCTGCCCTGGCCACATCCTCAGCTGCCCTGCTGCCCATCTCATGGGGCACTGTGCTCCCCTGGGGCTCAGCTCCTGCCCTGCAGCTGCTGCTGCCTTCCCAGGGAGTTCAGCTGCTGGAATTGTTAGTGTCAGATGTGTGGTTTCCATAGGAAACTGGTGAGCCAAGAAGATGAGCAGTTGTGATGCTGCCCATAGGTACTCATTTCTTTCATCTCAATGGTCTGAAGTTTCATGCTGATTTTAAAAATTCAGCTAAAATGATATCATCTGACTTTGCAGAAAAACAGATGCACAACAGAAGCCTCCTCCCAAATACTAATTAAGTCATTTCAGTAATTGGCTATTTATTAAATGCTGAATTTAACTTCCTACATTATTTCTGTACATGGCAGTTTATTTACTGATGTTGAGTAGTCTGGATTTCCAAGTTATTCTTTGTCACTGTCACTTGTTATAAATAAATGCACTTTCTGTACCAAGCACTTCTCACTTGACAGCAGAGTCTCCCACAGCAGGGCAGCAGGTGATGTAGAAGGTGAATGCACGATTCTCTCTCCCTCTAAACTGGAGTTTGGCATTAAGGGAACTATCTAAGGACCCACTAAATGTACTTGCCAAGTAATGTAATTTCATGGTACGTGGTGCTAAATCCCAGAAGATCCAGAAGAGTGGGAGTGGATAATTCAATTACATAATATTGCAGGTTTCATTTGAATTCATTCTTTCAAAGCAATGAATTCATTTTCACTGCTGTAAAGTTTGAAGTCTTAGAAAAGTTAGTTATAAGCTTAATACATGGGTGCAATTGTAGCAAAGGTTCGTTTACCAACCTGTTTTTGAAGACTGAAGATGCCTGCAAGGAGTCCAAGAAGGTATGTGGGATCTCCTCAGCTGCTTTCTAAGCTAAGAGAGAAGGGACTGTTCTTTCTTATACTGAAGCTCCCACAGAAAGTAATGTGAGAGGAAGCAGATATCTTCACTAAGACATTTCAGAGGATTCAGGACCTCTTGGATTAGCTCCAGAAATCAAACCAAAAACTTCCATGTCCCTGGAAGCTAGCAATAGATGAGACTGGTGCTGGTACCTGCAGCAGGCAGCCTCAGCTGCAGTTGTTCATGTCCTCCCCTGAAGGGATGTGTCTCCATCCCCGGGGGGTCTCTGCTGGCCCCGTGTGCGGGTGAGGGGCAGCTGCTCAGGGGCAGGACTCTGCTGCTGGCCTCTCCCATTTAGAAACTGTGATGGCCACAGTGCAATCCCCTGAACAATGTCAGCTCACCCCTGTGGAGTGATGAATCCGGAGATTTGCTTTCAGAGGCTTGTTTCCAGTGTCCTGCTGCCATCTGCTCCACGTTCATGGCTCAGGCTTCACCTCCTGGCCACGTGGCCACGGACGTTCCTGTGGGCACTGCTGACTCCAGACCCACCTTGTCTCCTTCCAGATCTGGAGGCTGCCAGTGACATTGCCCTGTACTCGGGCCTGGGAGCAGCAGTCATTGCTGTGGCCGTGCTGGTGGTCGGCGTCACCCTCTACAGACGGAGTCAGAGTGAGTACGGCGTGGATGTGATTGATTCATCTGCTCTGACAGGAGGCTTCCAGACATTTAATTTTAAAACAGTCAGACAAGGTTAGTGTTGTGATTTCATTTTCTTCTCTCCAGAGCTCCTACTGCAAAGAGATACTGAGCTCATACTCAGTGGCTGGCTGTGGGAGGGCATTTCTAGCTCCCTGCTGAGCAGATGTTTTGGAAGCCAGCAAAGGGCAAGGAACAGGATCTGGTGGTTAGATCTGCCTCTTGCTGTCTCTCTCTGCTGCTGGCCCTCCATGGCAACTGGGACACATACATCATCTTTGTTGACCACACTCTTAAGTGCTCTAGAAATGCTGTCACTAGCTTCTACACTGACATCTGTGGCTTAGAAAAATCCCAAACGAACCAAAACAAGCTAACCAAAACAAAACAAGCCCAGAAAGCATGTCTGTAGTTCCTTTCTATTCAGTTATAAATCTTCTGTTTTCTTTATTCCAATAAAAGTGGAGGTTTTTATTGTTAATTTAAGAAACCAAACTTTTAAGTGTTTTTGTAAGCTGCTGTTAGCATGCAGACATGCACCTCCTGAGCTCTGTGGGGAATAAATGTGTGCAAACATGTATTAATTTTAAAAAAACCCACCAAATTCAGAAAGGCACCAATGCAATAAAATATGGAAGAAATATTTACTTGTACTAAGAGCAACACTCAGATGATCTCTGGAATATTATTTCCTTTGCACAGGATGGTGGGGAAGAATACAAACTGTGATTAAATGTTCAATTAAAGTAGTATGTTTATTTCTGTCCTGACATTCTAATATAGAGACTGGCCCTATTGTGGGTGGGTGGGTGGGTATGTTGGTGGGGTGTGAAAGTACCCCCATGTCTCTTTTCAGCAAAGTGAAATATGTTGCAGAGTTTGGGGTTTTGTTGTTGGGAGTGGTTTTGTGTGTGTGTGGTGTTGTTTTTACAGTTACTTTTATTTTCTGGGAGACAATTCTCATCAAGAATAAATTGAAAAAAAAATTGGAAAAAGGGCTTAGTAGACAAGGATGTGTGAAGGATATTTACTCATTCATGTAAAAATCCAAGCCTTTAATTAGAGTTGTAATTCTCAATGACTCTCTCAGTAACTTTTTCCTTTGTTGTTCAGTTTGCCATGAAAGTCTTGTTTTGAGTCTGGGGAATTGTTTGATTGACTTAATGTTTCACAAACATTAGTTCTGGACACTGAAAATATCTGACTGCCCCAGCTTCCCTTATGCCAGGATGCTGTTAGCTCAGTTCCAGTTACTTTGGGTTCTCTGGCTGCAAGTTTTCTAAATGTGCATTTGTGTGATCCACATTTTATTCTTTGGAGAAATGCCTTTAGCAACCCAACCTGCAATCCCTTAAAGTTATCAAACTGTCAGGGATGCAGTGCACAATTTCCAGAAAAGGATTTACTTTGGAAAACTTGTATGTACTAAAGACCAACCACCACCAACAACAACAAGAAACCCAATACAAAAACACAGTAAGAAGGATTCAGGCCTTAAATCTGTCTGTTCATTCTCTTTTTTTCAGAGTGTTTTCTGAGCTAAAATGTTCCTAAATGAATAACTGTGGTGTTTTTCCCTATATTACTTTTTGTCCCACTTTCTTTTCAGCCCTAGTTTCCCTCAGGCATGAAGCTATTGCTTTGTGTAAGTTCATGGAAAAGGTCTCCAGGATTATGTGTTTTCACCCAGTGGGTTTTAGTATAAAAAATAAAAGAAAGAAAGAAAGAAAAAATGCATACACACAAATGTGAATCCAAAGAAAAAAGAAGTTCTTTCTTGGATTCATGCACTCTGGAGTTGCCTGAAGTGTGGAAAATAAACCTGTCAAGTACCTGTTAGATCTGTTGCATCATTTCACCTGTTCTGTAACAACACATGACTTTTGAGCTCTGAGAGTATCAGGAAGGAAGAGCAAGTCAAAAAGGAGATGGTGGAGAGGTCAGAAAGATTTCTGAGTTAACATCTTGACAAAGGAACTAATGCCCTGATCTGCTTCGTTCTGCCAGGTAACTCCCTGCTGTTGAACTCCTCCATGCAGCCAGACCTGACAGTGAGCAGGACGTACAGTGGCCCCATCTGCCTGCAGGATCCCATGGACAAGGAGCTAATGACAGAGTCATCACTGTTCAACCCACTGTCTGACATCAAAGTCAAAGTCCAGAGTTCGTTCATGGTGTCCCTGGGGGTGACAGAGAGGGCTGAGTATCACGGGAAGGCACATTCTGGAACTTTTCCTCATGGGAATAACAGAGCCTTTGGTACAATACAGGCTAGAAACAAAGCTACATACATTCAGAACCTGGCTTCTATTTCAAAAACAAGTGAGCTGAAGACAACTGCTATTTTTGGACACCTGGGTGGCCGTTTAGTGGTTCCAAACACAGGTAGGGAGATCCTTTCTCATTAAAAGTATACAAAATAATTTTAGATTAAATTAATTTTGCCTGATGTAGAGTTCTGTAACTAATTTAAAAAAAAAAAAGAAAGAAAGAAAGAAAGAAAGAAAGAAAAAGAAAGAAAGAAAATGTAGGGGCTCCCTTAATGCAAATTTTGGGAAGTAGAGCATGTGCCTACACAGGGGATGACTGATCAGAAGAAAGCTTGGGATGAGTAGTCAAGAGGCATTATGCCTGTTTGAACTGTTATAAATTACTGCCTCCCTTGATGTCTTTAGCATGAAAGTCATATTAATCAAAGCTGTTGCTTACTTGGATCCTGATCCAGAAGAAGGGCTCCCCAGGAAGGAGGTCGATATTGGATCAGCATCTTATAGAATGGGTCATATTCAAAGCAGAACCTACACACATCAACATCTGACAGCATGAACACTGTCAGACTCCATTATGTTATTGAAGTCTGCAGCATATAACAAACAGATGTCTCTGGGGAACAGCTTCCAAGCTCAGTGAAGGCACTGGTGTGGTTTTGTTAGCATTTACTCCTAGCTTTATGGATTTTAATTTCCTTTACCTTAATAGCTTGACAGACTTCCATAGTGGAGCACTTCACAGGCAGCTGGTATTTCCAGGCTGGGCTGTGTACTGAAACATCGCAGCAGAGATGCTCAGTTGGCATTGCTTAAGAAATGGAGTTTGTTTTGTGACTTCAAAATTTTGTGACATGTGTTTCAGACATAAAACATGGTTTGTTAAATTGGCTGAAGACATACAGCACTAAATTAGAATCAAAGGATGTTAAAATCAGCCCTGCAGTATGTTGCCATACATCACTGTTCGCATCATGTTGGATAAAATTCCTTATGTTGGACACTTTAAAAATGGCAAAAGTAGCAGAAATAGCCAGATACAGCCACTGCTAGTTAAGATGATGTCTTCGAATCTCTGATGATCTTGATTCACTTTAATTTCCACTTTGTTTTCATCAGACTAGTGTGTCCAGGCTTATCTCTTAGTATCTAGTTGAAGTGAATGATTTAGAGCTTTACCCTTCAAGTTTCATAAAATGGGTACTTCAAAGGTTACCATAAAATATGTGATGTGTATTTAGAGAAGATTGGTAGCAGTATATAATTCAGGGATGCAATATTTAGTGTACAATCATGCAGTATTTAGTGTGCAGTCTTGCACAACACATGGAATAGATTCATTTTGTCACAGATTGTTCCAGTGTTCAGGAATGAATGCTACAAGGCAGAGGCACCAAGTTAGTTAAGTCATAAAAGAAGAACTCTCTTTATACTATGTATTTAGCTATTTTATGTAATTATAGTCACATCAGTTAGATTACTTAAATACATGTTTGGTACACTTGCAATTTATGTTCTTCCTATTTGTGTAAGATCAAATTTGCTGGCCAATTGTAAATGAGAGAGCAGTCGTATCAGCACTGAGCTGAGGTTCTGCATTGTGCAGCATTTACTGAGTAAAATGTAGTCCTCCTGTAGTGAATATGCTCTGGAAAGTGTCCTTGTTCACTCCTAACTTATACTAGTGGAGTAAAAGGAAAATCATACCCCTTGGATTCATTAGTTATTGTGTATATGAACAAAAATAGTGTAGTGATTTCCATGCAAATTGAGATTAATTTGATTACATTGTCTCTCCATTATGAATTCTTATTGTGATGCTGGAATTATCAGATTTGATTTGGAAGTTAGAAAGGGGCAAAGAGGTTTCAAGAACAGTTTAAGCCATGATCACATCTTGTAAAACATGGAGCTTTGCAGATGATGTGTACCACTAAGAGGCGTTTTGGCAAGCAAGAGTGAAAGAGTCAACAAATGATTAAATATTTCATAATTGGCTTGCAACAACCACCTTCCAGAAACTGGTGAAGCCTAAACTTCAGAGTTCCCAAAGGCACCTGTGCTTTTGACTGTGTTTATTATTGAAAAAAAAAAAGGAAAATAACAGTTAACCAGGCAACTCAAACCAGATTGCTGCTGCATCAGACCAAAGCCTGTCAGAGGAACAAGACCCATCCAAATGACTGGGATTATGAACTGCTCCTGCCACAAGCCTTAAGACAACAGCTGATGGTACCTTTTGCTTCCATAAATTATCCCCTTTGTGTCAGTGCTGAAGGAGACCAGGAAGTGCCTGTACCCAGTCCCACCTCGACTGTGACTCCAGTGTCATTTAGTGACACAAACCAAAGGGAAGTCACCTATTTTAAGAGCTCAGCTGGAGCAAGAAGTTTTTATGCATAAGAGTCTTTATCATTTCAGGCTCTAAGACAGTTAAATATTAATAATTATGTGGATCATGTTAATAATGTATTTTCCTTTCATCTGATAGTGTGCTGGTCAGGACCACTATTTCAGAGGAGCATTCTTCTCCTCTAGTAGATGGCCCTTCTAGACCATGGAAGTCAGAGGCCAGCTGCACATTGTTCTGTCCATCCAGTCCCTTTCCCAGAGGCTTCTTCTGCTTTGCTCTTTTGTAGGAGTCAGTCTGTTGATACCACATGGAGCTATCCCTGAGGAGAGTTCCTGGGAAATCTATCTTGCCATCACTCAAAAGGAATCCAGGTAAAAGCTTCCCTGTTGCTGGTGTGAACACACTGTTGTGACATGTGCTATAGCTGTATAAATTACAGGAAAAATGACATAAGACAAATGATTGCTGGAACTTCCCTTTAAAAACTGAAAGGCACAAAGCTGCCTATAAATTTTAAAGCCTAGAAATATTTTTTTCAAAGCTTAAAGTGGAATCTATTTTTTTTCTTCCTCCTCTGATATCTGAACTCCTTTGTGTAAACTTTCATATTCCATCCCCATCTGCTGCCATAGGGTTTTGATCATTTTCAATGAAAGATTAAGATATGTAAAAGGAAGGAAGGAAAAAAAAAAAAAACACCCAACTGTTTTGTCTGCAAGGGTTCTGCAGAAATGAATTAAAATAGGTTAATTAAAACCAAGCAGCAAATTTTGCCTACTGTTTTCCTTTTCTGTGGGCAGAAGCAGAGGTAGCAAACCAATCCAAAGATTGTCGCAGGGGGACATTTCCTTCTTCTTTAAAGTGAAATTCTATAAAGTGAGACAAAAGCAAACGTTCATTTTTTCCCCTCAAAATACTGTATTCTTCTTCACATTGTTGAGACAAGACTGATGTTGTGTTTCACCTGTCTGAGGTGGGTGGGACAAACCAGACTGCTCTAGCTGCCCTGACGTGCAGGGAGCTGGCTCTCTACTGCCCATCCATCGGGGGGGGAGGTGGCAGTGGCTCAGAACTTGTACCTGGTTTGTGTGGATGGAGGGTCACAGAATCACAGAGTGTTAAGGCTTGGAAAGGACCTCGGAAAATCCCCTCGTCTAACCCCCTGCCAGAGCAGGACCACCTAGAGCAGGTCACACAGGGACGTGTCCAGGAGGGTTTTAAATGTCTCCAGAGAAGACAATGGAGGGAGGTACTAAACCACTCCAGAGAGCTGCTCCACAGGCGCATGGGCTGTTGGGCAGATAGCCCTAAAATGCAGGCAGTAGTTATCTGGGCATGCACAAGGCCTGGATGTCTCCCCACTGACTGATGGAGCCCACGTGCACGCACCCGCTTTGCGGAGCTCTGAATTTAGGCAGAATTGTCCTGTCCCTGGTGTCTGCTGTGTGTCACCTGGCTTCTTCTTTCTGCAGAACAGAAAAGTGTTTTCAAACCAGTGAGATCACACTCACTCTGGAAAAATTTATGAGACTGTGTTTTTAAACCATAATTTGTTTTATCTTCCCAACTGTGAAAATATTGCTGATGACAGTCTTTGAAGGTGGAATTAGATGCTGCCAGCTGGTGCATCAAGCAGGGCCTACTGGCATTGAGTCCTTTTAGTGTTGGGTTTGGTTTAAGCAAATTGAAATGTATTTTAAAGACCACAATCCTAAACTGACTAGCCAACCATCTGAGTAGGGGTGGCCTCATAGTTTGGTTTCATCTTCAGCTACTTTTTCTACATGAAAGCTGGCACAGTAATTGGCTGGCTTATCCTTTTCTGCAAGAGTGAGGTACTTGGCTTTTTAACTAAAGTATTTTAAAACTTGCAGTTAAAAAGTACCTTTTCACTCCTCCTTAAAAAGAGCCTGACAGTCGTTATTGTCTCTTCCCGGACACAAAGCCTACAGCCAGAAGGCACCCACGTTCTTCTGGGACCAGAAGTAACCTGTGGGCCCTCAGATGTGTCTGCCAGCACGCCCTTCGCCTTGACCATACCACACTGTGCAGAAGTCAATTCAGAGCACTGGAATATTCACTTGAAAAAAAGGACACAGCAAGGGAAATGGGAGGTAAGCTCAGACTTCTGCCTGCACTTGGCAGGTTGTACCAGTGATGGAAAGCAGCACCGCGGTTCCTCGGGCAGGCTCAGGTCCAGGCTGCTGTAAGGGACAGGAACAGACATCTCAAAGAAACACTTTTTAAAAAATGATTTTGTGCTTTGTTAGGAAGCACCTGAACTGTCTGCAGCTATTTTACCAAGATGTGCTAAACAGACTCAGCTTAATGGTCCAGCCCATGTGACAGGAGAAAAATGCATTCATCTTCTCAGGTCACTTAAGCCAGCAGCCATTTAATTTTAGAAACATTGTTTTGATAGATCATAGCTCCCAAAGAGAGTCACATCAGAACTGACTGCTATATCCACACAAGAATTTATCATGACATAAAAAACGTTATGGAACTGGCTAAAAATATACACTTCAAGTTTAATTTTTTTTTTTTAATGTAGATGGACCCTTCTGATCTAAAAATCTTGTCTCTTTGTACATGTCACTTGAATGGACATTCAGTGCTCATGCTGTGCTCATAAGCTCTGAAGGATTAGTGTACCTTAAATGAAATATTTTACCATTCTCAGTTGAAACTGTATTTTTTAAACCTGATTACTGGGGAAATTAAGCTTTTTGCATTTGTGCCATGGGCATTTGATCATTTGTGCCAGTCCACCTGCATTCTGTAAGCCCACTGGCCACCTTTGACTGAAACTGCTTGGTAGGCAGCAGTCTCAAAGCTAAACTTTCTGCATTGTCTGGGGAAGACAGCCTAGTAAAGGTATGGCTAAAGCATGAACTGAACTGTTATTACATTACAGAAATACACACAGGATAAAGGTGCTGGACTTCCCAACAACAAAGCATGTTATTAGAGCTGTGTCCCAACACTCTGCATCTTATTACAGCTGCAGAACCCAGTAACACAAATCCAAAGTCAATCAGATTTTATTGCACTGCTGCTGATGGAACTATTTGTTCATTGCCTTATGAGGGGAAAAAAAACAATAGTTAAAACATTCCTGGATACCTTAACTCACTTCACCCTTTTCCTCCTCTAATGTTTGCTGCTGGTTTAAACCATTTGCACTCAGTTTTCCAACTCTAGAGGCACTCAGTACTTAGTCAGCTCCATTACCATTGGTTACAAACACCCTGGAGTTAATGAGGAGTGTGACACCAGGCTGCAGGCTGCTCACAGACCTCAGCTAATGATGCTGTAATGCAGAACTAAGCACGAAAGGCAATAGAGTGGGATAGGTAGTTTTTTGATGAAGGTAAATGTAGTGTAATGGATATTCTGTAAGGGAAGTCAAATACCAACTATTGTTCAAGGATTGCTTATTGACTTCAATCCTCAAGGTAATTTCTTAACTTGACATTGGGAAAAATAATTATCTAGAAAGTCAAAAGCACTTGAAAAAAGATGCTAAAACTGCTTATCCATCATCATTATTATTATAGGCTGTACACACTGAATTCTGCACAATATATTGCCATAAATCCTCTTGCTGACTCAGGGCTAGACTGGGAGTGTTTACTCATACAGATGGTCTCTGCCTTCTCCTCTTCCCTGAGGTCAACACGAGCAGAGTGTGCAGACTGGCTCTCAGAAGTACTTTACATTCCAGTTGTATGAAAATAAACAAATAATGTCATGACTCCTATTGTCAAGGCCTATTGATTTTATTATTTAATTTTTTTTCTTTAACCTGAATTTCATTTTGCAGGAAGTGATGTCTGTGGAAGAGGAAACTACTTCTTGCTACTGCCTGTTGGATCCTTATGCCTGTCACATTCTCTTAAACAGCTTTGGAACTTATGCTCTTATTGGAGAACCCCTCTCTGACTGTGCCGTTCGACAGCTGAAAGTAGCGGTTTTTGGCTGCCTGTCTTGCAATTCTCTGGATTACAATCTGAGAGTATATTGTATGGATAACACACCTTGTGCATTTCAGGTAAATGGTTTCACCTTGTTAACTGGTTTTTGTTGTATTTCCATAGAACACTAACATTCCTCTGTTTCTGGGGATCGTCCCTGGGCCACACCAGCACTCCAGAACTCAAACAATACGCTATTTTTTCATGCCACTGCTGCATGACTTATTTTTCATCCCTTAATTTCTCTGCACTCTTGTTCCACTTTGGATTTACGCTGCAAGAGCCTCAGGACACCCAGACCAGCCTTTCAGCCCAGAAGATGTTGGTCATTACCATGGCATGGACTGTGTTTGTCACACTCGTCCCCTTACGCTGTCATTAGTCAGTTCAGGATTTCCTCTCCTGTTCACAGTTTGAGCAAGAAGGAAGAGACTGCCCCACCATCTTGTTAAACAAATACTAAATTATAATCATGCATTTCCCCTTTAAAAAAAAAAATTAAAAAAATGTAAAAAACCACCACAGTAACAACCAGTCACCACAAAACAATCCCAAAGCAGCGTTTCAAATGAGCTGAGTTTTGTCCGTGGTATTCCAAGACAAAACAATGAAATTCACTGGCTTTTGCAGCTTTAGTGAACTCAGAAGCTTTAACAAAATGATTTTCTTTTGGGAGATGAAATGAAGACAGTTGTGACAGATGATTTTCTGCTTCCTTTTGCTATCATACAGAATAGAAACATGAATCTTAATGAAGCACACACTAATGTCTGTGTGCTTCTAATAAAACCAAAGCCACTGAAAGGGATGTTAAAGACATACAATAGCTTTGTAATTAGAACCTTTATAACACACAATTCGTGGGCTACTGGTGTTTTCCTGGATGAGTCTGTAGAAAATTGTTACAAGAATAATTACCACTTTTCTGCATTCACAGAAATTAGAACAGGGTGTTTGTACATAATGAGACAACTGTGTATTTATGAAATTACACATCTCTTGAAAGCATGCTGCATCAACTTCATGCTATGTAAATATTAAGTGCTGAACATGGAATCTACAGGTGGCTTTTTTTGATAAAGTATCAGAATTGTGTTTACCAAGTTTTGCTTGATGCTGTTAATCCTTTACAGAGCAGTCCTATAGGATACAAAGTTCCTTGATTTTTCACTTTATCTCTGTGTGGCAACTTACCTTTATGTAATCCCTAGTGTGCTGGGAAACTCTTTGCAAAATACAAAAGAACCAGCTATTGTATTTTTCATTTTGCCATAATCCTTCTGCCTTTTGTGGAATTAAGGACCACGTGCATTATTAAAGGTAGAGCAGTGTTTGTACAACTGTGGTATGTTTAAAAAAATCCCAACACATTCAGAGAATTTCAGAAGTTGTGATGAAATAAGCTACTTCCTTTGCAGTTGAAAATCAAAAACTAAAGTTTCCCTTCTTATTCCTTCTTTCATGTAAACCCAGCCATCAGGAGTTAAAACAAACTAAATGCCTGTAAATTGGTTTATAATAGAAATCCATTATTACAGTTTCAGAGAGCTCTAGCAGTCATTATATTTTCAGAAGGTCACAGTGATTCCAGTAGCTCTTCTAACAATAACTTTGCTACTGGTAAGCACTAAAGCTCTTCAGTGTACACAGATTTTATATCATTTATATGGATAAAAAAGGGAATTTGAAATACTGCTTACTAGCTGATTTTTAAAGACTTCTGCAAGCTTTCCTTCCTTCTTAGGATTTTTACTGTAGCAGTACAGGAATAAACATTGCATAAGTACAGGCAGGGGTGATTTTTTTACTATTGTTTTAAATTCACAGAATTATATAAAAATCTAGGTTGTAACATACCTCTAGACAGCTGTAGTGCAAATTCCTGCTCCAAGTCAACCCTTCAAAGATTGTGCAGGATCTTGTCCAGTAATTCTGAAAATGGCCAAGAGAGGAGCGATGGAGCTGAATCATTTTGTCTAATGTGCACACTTGGTGTGTTTCTTTCAGTGCTTTAAAGTCCTGAGAGCACCTTCTCCCCAAAACTGCTGTCGACTCAATCTCTAACTGAGCAGACTCTTCCCCAAGCATGCCTTGTATTGCCTGGCTTCCTTTTAGTCCATTAAGTGTTTAAGGAACACAGGGAATACACTGAATACAACTTGAGGAATACAACCTGTAGGATTTTTTTTTATTCAAAAACTTAATTAAAATACCCAAGGATAGCTGTGTTATTCCAGAACAGAAGAGGGATGAAATTACAGTGATGTCACAGTACAACCAGTTTCCATTTTCCTCTTTGGAGGGAAAAGGCTTTACCTGGCAATGGGCTGACAGCCTTGCTTCCCCCTTCGTGCTGATGTTGGAGAGCACTCGGGTAAACTTCTTTGTAACAATGATCCTGTGGGATGCAATAAAATAGCAGCTATCAGACACGAGTAACTTTCAGTAACAAAGAAAACTGGTTGGCTTTGACCTGTAACCCCAAAACGTGAAGACAGAAACTACCGGGTGGCAACACCCTCTGAAGTTCCCTTTCCTGCACCCCCAGCCTGCAGTCACCTGGGTGTTGGTGCTGAGGGAGCCAAAAGAAAATCGAGTGTCACAAGTCCCATCATCACATATAGGACAATCCCTAATCCATCCATGGAATGCCAGTGCCCATCACCTGCCCCGTGAGAGAAATACTCCACTGCTGTACCCTGACATGCTGTAGGTGAACGAGGCACCTTCCAGAAAGATGAATTCTCATTAGATTTGGTATTTGTTCATAATACTGAAAGAATTCTTTCCTCCTCTGCCATTGCAGGAAGTTGTTTCAGATGAAAGACTCCAAGGTGGACAATTACTGGAGGAACCAAAGCTTTTGCATTTCAGAGGGAACACCTTCAGTCTTCAGATATCTGTCCTTGATATCCCTCCTTTCCTTTGGAGAATTAAACCATTTACTGCATGTCAGGTACTTGTCAGTTTATCTGCTTACATTTGAATTCAGAGGTAGCAAAGAGTTTTCACTGGCAGGGGCACAACCCAAGTCAGACAATGGTCCCTTTTGCTTTTGAAAGGTGTGGTTTCAGTCTCTTGAGTATGCAACAAAAATGCATTGCCTTATGATCAGGGCAAACCCAGAATGCTGTAAAGCTTTCAATTTACAGAACTGTTCAGAGGTGAACACTTCCACTGCCCTGTACTGACACAGTCGAAGCGACTGCTCCTGTTGTTTGCCAGGACTACTGCAGAAAGGCAGCTGTGCAAGGAGGAAACCAAATAACACTGTGCTATGATAAATTAGAAAAATGGCCTGCAGAAAACAATGCTTACTGTGCTGTCTGCAGGCAACTCTGCTGATAAGCAAGGAAAGCTGTTTGCTACTTTAGCCTCTCTGTTTCTTTGTAGTTGAGGATTATTTCTGCAAAGTCGTGATTTCTTTAGGGCATTGCCTCCTTTGCTGGTTGTGAGTCCCTGGTGCACACAAAGTTGTGAGACTGACTCAGAGGCCTCAAAATACTTTGTGTGCAGTTCAGCACTTAGTGCTGTGTACAGCTTCTGTGGATAAATATACTACTTATGGTATGTTAAACTCGGGTATTTTTATTTTCTGTTGGCAAATAGTCTAGAGTTTCCAGCCAAAACTGAACTGCAAGATGCTGTTAAAACAAGGCATGATAGCCCATGCAAATTTCTTTAATATAGAGAATTTTCTGTAACATAGAGAAATTTTCCCATATGTTCAAAGGACTTCACTTTGCTGAATAATGCAAGTGGCACAGCCCAAAGTAGCTATCAAATTTATTTTGCAAGAGAAAAACAAAAAATAAAGTCCGATGAGGGAGCCATAACCCACAGAAGAATGTGTAAGTGCTGTGCTTGCACTGAGGTGGGCACAGACTGGCAGAGCTGCTGAAGGTTCAGGTCATGGCAGGCACGATCCCCTTCGCTCAGCAGCCACTCAGGGTTAAAAACAAGCCTGTGCAAAACCTCTGCTGCCAGAATGGTCTGACAGTGCTGGTAAGGAAGCCAAATAAATATTTACATTTTATAATTGCGTATAGTTTGGATGACTTGGACAGCTGAGAAACTGTTTCTATCGGAAACTGCGGAACGACTTACATGGCTTTTATTTCCCTCTCAGTGAAATATTTTGTGGAATGTTCCAACTCTGCTGACAGCTCTGATTTGGCTCACACCTCTTTGTATATAAAAGAACCTTTTTTCTTCATGTGGAGTTTCCTGTGCTGTCTGCTTGTTTTCTCTCCTACACAGCACATTTAAAAACAAGCCGGCTGTTCTGGTTGTCAAGAACAACTGAGAAGAGCCTATTCCGTAATTGTCTCTTTGGTCAACCAAGTGAAACCATCATCAGAGAGTATGATGAGGAAAGATTTATGTTAATGATTTCTCATATAAGTAAAGATGCTGCTTCAAGGCTTGAAGAGATGAATAAATCATGGTGTAAAACTGTCCATGAAAGCAGTTAATGGCAGGTGGTAGTCGGTGTTCCTCCAGACTCTGCGGAGTGTGTGTGTTTGTCCTGGCCAGCAGGCAGGAGCAGATGCCGAGTGCTTGGCATCCTTCCCACCACCTTCACAAGAAACTAGGGGGAACCCTCGAAAACGGGTCGGGTGTTAGAGCAGGAAGAGGCTGTGACAAGCATGTTAAGAAGCCTGACAGGCACCTTTAGTGGTTAAAAGCAGCTGTCTCCCTAGTGTCTTGTGTCTCTTGGAGGATCCAGGGTCTGTCTGTAGCTCTGCAATGATTTACATTCCCTCCCTCTGCTAGGAGCTTAATTATAAAGGGAAACTAAAACCGAAAGTGTTTCTGAACTACTTTAAACACTCATTGTCCCACTATGCCTTGCTCCCTCTATTCCATTCCATACCACTCTTTTCACCTGAGTGATTCTTCTACTCTGGGTGAAAGCAGAGATGATTACTCTGGAAAAATCTAATTACAGTTGCTCCACTTCTAATATTTTGCTAATGTTTTCTTTATCACTCTTGGTATCTTGCTACTGCTACCAACTCAGGATCTCCACGCAGAGCTTATCATTATCTCTGAGTGCATCTTTACAGGCAGCCCAGGACACTCCTCAGGGCAGTGAGCTGAGTGCTGGCTGGGAGTGCAGCGACACTCTCCCTCCGTTAGTCTTGACTGTGTTTGGAAGTGCCAGGTGAGGCTGAGCTCTGGTGCTTTCTCACATTACCAGCACATAGCTCCTTTCTTCAGAGACATGGAAAAAAATCACCACCTCAGTCTGATAAAAATTGCTTCTAGGAAGGCAAGAATGAAGCGTTAAATGTTTTCTGAGCTGCAAGCTCTTGGGTGAGCGTCCATAAACTGATCGTAAGAGTTGAGTGCACGGTTTACTTGATTTAAACAGCTAATTATGACAAGTGGCTAGTTGGAAGGTCAGTCAGTTGTAACTGTCAGTATTAAATACTGAAGGAATTATAGCTGCCTAGAGGGTTTATGTTTATGTCCTTGCCTATGTCATTTATTAACCCTTTAGGAAGCCATGAAAAATGCAAGCAGAATGCATGCCCAGTCATTATTGCCTTTTCTTTGAAGGATCAGCTTCACATGCCTTTCAAATCAATTCTAAGATTTAAAAATAGTGCATGAAAAGGGACAGAGCAATCTGAAAATTCATAATCCTCCTCTAGAAAACCTAATGTAAAAATCTATAAACTAGTTTTCTTGTGTAAGAATAATTGCTCCCTGAAGCTGTTAATGCTGTCCCATAATCATATGGATGAATGCTACAATAGAATAGGATGAAATATTAATTTCAGACAGGTTTTTTTCCCTTTTATATTATTCCCCAGGTTGCCAGTTCTACACTATTTTTCAATATTTTGAAATTAATAGACAACATGTTTGGTTTAATTGGTTTTACTATTTACAAGCCTTCATGGCTACAATACAGAACACCACAGTGAGTTTATAAATGATGCTCGTTTGGAAGCAATAATAATAAATAAATAACATATTCTGAAAGCGTGAAGAGAGGAGACTGGTAAGAGAACTTTGGTATTTACAAAGTAATCAGAAAACAGAAGTTAGCTGCCCCATGCACTTCTCCTGTCTATTTCCATACGTTTTTAGGAACACGAAGCAACCAGAGATGCCAGAAATCTCTGATGATTAATTGCTGCAGTTGTCTGTGTAGCGTTTGATGAGAGCATTCATCCCATAAAGTGGCCCTGGCTGAAGCAGAGGATTCAGTGAACGTAGTCACAGAGTATAACAGGATGAAACTAAGAAGTAAAGCTGAGGCTGGCCAGTGATGTGCAGGGGGCTGCTCGAGGCCCCCCAGGCAGGTGGGTGTTGCTGAACTCGGATGGAAGATACCCACATACAGACAGGGAGCTGCCGCGCTCGATGCCGCGTTACCGTACGGAGGAAGGATGGTTCCTTTGGTTTGGATTCTGTAGGCCAAGGTGATGGCAAGGAGGCACAGATTAGAGCAAGAGCTCCAGTCCCTGCCTGGGAGGAGTAACTGAAGTGCATCTTTCCTAGGTTTCATTTTAGATGAGAGTGTGAATCCTGCGTACTCTGAAAATGTCACATCTTAGTAGCTATCAAACGAATCATCATTTATTAGTTTTGTCCTACTTGGAGTCTGCAGGGCTGTCAGTAAAAATGCACTGCAAACTGCTGCCTTTTCCTCCCGTTTTGTGACTGTCACACGTTCCCTCTGCCCTGGCAGGAGGTGCCATTCTCACGTGTCTGGTGCAGCCGCCCGCGCCCGCTGCTCTGCGCCTTCTCCCTGGAGCGCTACACGCCCGCCACCACCCAGCTCTCCTGCAAGGTCTGCGTCCGGCAGCTCAAGGGCCACGAGCAAATCCTGCAGATCCAGACCTCCATCCTCGAGGTACTTGTTCCTGCTGCTCCTTGGTCTCTGTGCAGCACGAGACGCGATCCCGCCCGCCTGAGCCCCTGCTGTGTGCAGTTTCTTACACCCTGTTCAAAACTGTAACACACGTAAGGCCTTAGAGATTCCAGCTCCAGCTGAAATTGAAGCACAGAGATTCTCCAGTGCTAAAAATAATGAGAGCTGGTGTTAACAGCTTTCTTGCAAAACGATTTTGAATAGTTTGCAGAGTGCTGAGAGTTGACAATAGGATTGCCTGTGAGCTGTCCCACCACCAACTTCACTTCCTGGAGCCGTTCTGTACACACAGTGTCTTGCAAGGGCCGAGTCTTTGCCACGGGGGAAAGTGGAGATGTGGTGCTGAGGGACGTGGGGCACTGGTGGCCTGGCAGCACTCAGTTAATGGTTGGACTCGATCACCTTAAAGGTCTCTTCCAGCCAAAACCATTCCATGATTCTATGAGAAGTCAATTGTGTAGCCAAGCGAGCTGGTCATGAGTCCTGCTGCAATGAAAACTTCAGTGGCTTTTTTTAGATTATTGAGCACCTTTGTTGATTAATCCACAGTAATGCTTCCAGAGTAAAGATACACATCCATTGCTAAATGCACTATGCAGAGAATGCAGCAACTAAATAAGAAAAGCACAAACGTGACTCTGTGTAAAAACATCCTCAGAATACAGCCAAACGTTTTTCCAGTTCTTTATTGTTATTTCATAAAAAAACTTGTCATGCTCTACACACCTCAATACAGTGTTGCTGCTGCCTTTATTCCCCCTCTCATTTTCTTTAAAAGGGACCTATCTGTCCACAAGTCCCCAGAGCGTGTTACAATTCTCTCTTCAAATGGATTTCTAGTAAGGAAGGGCCTTTTCATGCCTATCTCAAAAAGTGATTGAAGAGTGAGGATAATTTGAGCGTAAAATAAATATGTAAATAACAACTGAATACTTGAATTGCTCATTGCTTCACAATTCCCTGAACTAACCTGGCACCAGTAGCTTCTCTCACGTGTGCAGAGTCTGAAAATCTACTATTATTCTGCATACTTAATTTTGGCAGTCAGATCGTGATATATCTACAGCCCTGCTGTTACTTTGCATGCATGATTTTTGGGATGTGTCATAAATGTTATATGAAGAGACTACAGCATCATTGTTATTTAATATTTATGCTGCATTGCACTGAAACTAATAATGCCTGGAAATGTGACTCTATTACACAAAACTGGTATAATTTCATAGGAAGAGAATGGGCCAGATCTACAAAAGGATTCCAAAGAGATTTTTAGTATGGAACTGAGTATTTACAGAATTTAAGTATTTTTTTAAAAAAAAAATCACAAATGAGAGATTTGTGTGTTGGACTTACCTGTAACAAAACAAAACAAAATGAGGAAACAGAAGGAAAATGACACTATTAAAAAATATATACGTAAGTTGTTCTAGAACAACACATTTGTGTTCCTTCACAAATCAGAAAGATACCTCTTAGCTGTTTCATTTTCTGTTGTCAGTTCTACAAAGCACAGCTGGCATCTCGGGCTCGGGTTTGAAGGGTTCTTGCCCCACAAGAGGCTGGGCACAGGGCCGCTGGCTGCGGGCACCCCGAGCACAGCCCTGCCCGAGGCCTGGCCCCGAGGGGCTGTGCAGGGACCCTGCCCGGGCGGGGGCTCCCGCTGCCCCTCGCTGGCCCCTCGGCCTTCACCCTGGGCCTTCACCCTGGGCTTTCCCCTTCCCCACAGAGCGAGAGGGAGGCCCTGGCTTTCCTCGCCCACGATGACAGCAGCTTCC